ATCTGCATTTAACTGTGGGAAATAAGTAGGGGATCAAATAGTTATTTCCTCCACTTTAAGTCACTTTAGACAAAAGCATCAGCTAAGTAACATATGATGTGTTAGCTTGCTCATGTGATCTGATGAGAGCGTCTTATCCATGATTAAGTGCACGCTTCCCTCCTAAGGTTTGTGGGTGTTTCAGTTCACCCGCAAAGTGATCACTTTTTAGTTTCTCAAATGTATGTTTTTGTCTCTTTGAGCACCACAATCTGAGTGCCGTATTGTATTGGATAGAAAGCAGACATCTCCATGGCAGATAAACACTTGGCAACACGCACCAAACCAACATAGATCGGTACCAATACTGTAACGGCCCGTCCACACAGCAGCGTTAAAAAAATCTTGGAGGTGGGCGTATCTGAAGCTTGGGGATTTTTTGCGAGCAAGGCACCAACAACCAATCACATGAATCTCCCGCCCCCGACATACGAAGCAAAAAAGTTTGAAGTAAACTGGATATAAACTCCCCAAACAGGCGAAAACCTACCACTGTCTCTGCCACCTCCCTCCATGCCTGGCTCCTCCGGTTTGTATCCCGGTAGGTAAATATGGACTGGTCATAAAGCACCGGGTGATTCCCTACCGCTAATTTCTCCTCCATTTTTTGGAATATGAGGAAATGACCTGCGGTCTGTCTCTCCCAGCATACACGCCGTTTGATTGGCTAGAGCTTGAACTGTCAGATTTGCATACACGGGATTTGATTGGCTGACGCTTCCACCTCAGCTTCAAAAGTTGAACATTGCTCAACTTTGAATCCTGAAAATCCTGAAAATCTCCGCTCTGCTTCCCACAATGCAGTTCGGCGAAAAGTGAGGCAAAGTGACGTCACCCCATTCAAAGTGAATGGGCAGAAGCGTTCCAAGATTTTTTAACGCTGCTGTGTGGACGGGCCGTAAGAGAATAATACGTTTTTCTTCTTTTGTGGCGGTCTGTCAGTTAAAGTGCAATCATTTGGAAAAACAAGACACCCTTCTCCATTGATATGAATAATTCAAGTCTCATTTACAGCTCTGGTGCATTGTGTGTCGGTCA